TAACAAATAGAAAATATGTGTTCTTCAATAAACATTGTTTGTACTCACTTTCCTCACTCTTAAAAGAAACACATATTCTTCTTGTTTACAACACCAATAGTCTATCATCATCATAGTTTTATTTTGTATTATACATGGCTCTTTTTTCAAACTTCAGAACTCATAAAACAACATTAAATTGTGAAAACTATGGTAAATGAATAATAAAAAAAAAGGATTAATGACACAATTCTCAACCCACAAATTTGACGTGGTGAAAACCATCAACTTCACTAGCTTTAAGGGAGCGTTTGGCTGGGTTAAGTGAGATTACTGGGGTTATGTCATCTTATATTACTTGATTACCATGTTTGGTTGTCAAATAATATAAGATACCGGTAATCTTTAAATACTAATAGTAGTTACTATGGGTAATATCAGATGTAATCTGATTATCTCCATTTTCTTAGGTATTCTGAGATTACCAGGGTTATTTTTTTTGTTATAATTTTATCCCTTAAGGGAAATGTGACATTGATACGAGATAAGAGGTGTATATGACGTTAACCCTAGTTAAATATAGATTTTACAATTATAACCTTATTTAAGTCAACAAAATAAGTTGGGTTTAATTATAAAAGGAGGACTGTGGAGACCACTCCCAATTTTTGGGCCAAAAGTTAATAAGCCCAAATAAAAAAATGAAGCGAGCCAAGAATAGATAATGAATTTTGAGCTCACCGATGTGGGATTAAAAAAATGAATATCATGTATCGATTTCTGAAACTAAAAACAAAAAAAATAAAGTGGACTGTAATCTGTACAACTTTTTCTTTTTGGACGCCTGCAATCTTCACTCTCTTTTTTTTTTTCTTCTTTTATAAAAAAAAAAACGAAATCTTAATTAAATATTGCATTTTAAAGATTCAAATTGCTTTATACAATGTTCAAATTTTTGTAATTAAAATGGGATTTTGTTGAGAAAAAAATGTTGTTTGAAATTAAGGACAAAAACTCAAGCATCATGTGGAAGTTTGGTCAATTTATTCAGTGGGTAAGTTTGGTTTAAAGTTAGGAGACAAAGGATTTAATTTTGTTCATATTTTTAACTAACCTCGCTGCATCTAATTAATATGTTGACGGTAACATGACCAATCTGCAATAAATTATTGTTTAAAAGTATGAACATGGAGAGGTGAGAATGAGATCATCGCTTGCAGATTTCCACCAAGTTTCAAGACTTCAATCCCATTCTTATTTACATATTTTAATATGTATGAGCACTGAATTCGTGAAATGAAAGATGGAGTATAGAAGCATACCCACGGATTATATGTATATTGAAAAATAAAAGAAAAGAAAAATCAGATTGATGGAGGTTAGGGTTTAGGGGTTTTTGGTGGGCGTTTAAGTGGAGAAGGGACAGAACATGTGAAAGTCATTACCAAGTATTGTAAGAGAGTGAACAGGATCACATCGTCATCACATGTCTGCAAAAATCACCCTTATCTTTTGGCATCTAAATATGTTTATTACTTTATAAAATAGCCTGACATTATCTCACAACTTGATGCTATTATGCAGCTTTCTGTTTTGTCGAAACTCAAAAGAATGAAAAAAATAAAAATAAAGCATCTCTTCATTTGGGTAAATTTACTTTCTCGTCATTTAAAGCCTTGATTTTTTACACTCCATTCTCCTTCCAGTAACAGCTTCCTTGTTACTTGAAGGGTCTGCTTACAAGTTTTTTTATTTTTTTGGTCGATGGTTTAGAGGGGTTTTTAACTAGACTGGTTTTAAAGTATTTTAAAATCAATATTTATTAGATTTTTTATGTGTTGGTTTTGATTGGCTTAAAAACCCTCTAGAACTAGTGTAATGTATTTTTAAGGGATTTATAAAACACCCAAAATCAGAGTGTTTTGGTTGATTTTAAAATTTTATTCTATAAATACCCTATCTACTACAAAACTATCCAAATTATATATATATAAAATTAAATATATTACGTGCGTTTCTAACCATATTAAATATAAAATAATTTTAAGTAATAAAAAAAATTATTAAAATCTCATTTTTGTATGCTTTCTTAGAGAAGTAGGGCTACAATTTTTCAATCATTCTAGATGATGTAAAGAATGACGAATAAGGATAAGAAGACTTTATCATATTTGAAATTATAAAATATTAATAAGTGAAAAACAAATAAAGAACTTTTACCTTGTAATTGAAAAAACAAAACTCTCAAAAACTGGTTAAAGTTGAGGTATTGTTATGGGCATATATGTAAATTTATCATTTTAGAAAACTGCAAAAACCGTTGAAAAATAAACTTTCAAGCACAAGTTAGGTGTTTCAAAAACCGCAACTTAAAATCCCTCAAAACCGCTACAGTGGTTTACCCTCATAACCGTTTCGGTGGTTTACCATCATAACTGTTATCATGAAACTCCCAAGTGGACCCTAAAAAGAAACCCTTTCTTTTTTTGCTTTTATGCATCGTCAAGTTATTGTCCTTTGTTACAAAACCTATAAATTCAAGAGTAAACAACTTTTTTTCCACCCAAATAATGGTTTAATGACACTTTTTCACCTACTGATTTTTAAAATACTAATTTACTATCCAAATTTATATTCCGTTTCCGATTTCAGCATCATTGTAACCCAATATCACCACCATTCTTTTACTCGATTATCACTCACCAAAACCCCTTAAACTCTATTCCTGCCAATCATTGGTAATCGAAGCAATTCAGATTTACACAAACACCTCACAAGTCAAATTCCAATTAATCTCAACCACCAAAATCTAATCTACCACCAAAAGATTTATCGGTTTTCTCTTTTCAAAAACCCTAACAGCCTGAATCAAATTTATTCTTTATTCACTATTGAAATATAAATTTAGATAGTAAAGTGATATTTTAAAAGTCTGTGAGTGAAAATGTGTTATTAAACCATTATTTGAGTGGGAAAAAGTGGTTAACACATAATTTCAAGCATATCAAATAAACAACTATTGTATGTTAATTATGAATCAGGGACTTGAGGAAAGTCTAACCCACATTCCATCCGTCCAAAATTTTTATTACCCAAATTCACTTTATTGGAGTCTGAAAATCATTAACAATATTTGATATCCTTAAATTCAATATCAATTTTTTCAATTATCTTATTTAATAAAAGAATGATTATGTCAAAAATTGAAAATCAAATTAGAGGACTCTTGAAAGAAATAAAATTTATGATAAAAAAAGGGATTAACTCAACTTTCAAATACTTTTTATAATTTAAAAACATTATAATGGTGTAAGAAAACTGAAGAAGATTACAAAAATATCTCGAGTTGTCGTTATCGAGCATAGCATCTATCTCTTGGTTATGCCCCATTTCCCTCTAAATCTAAACGACACTTGTACCACGCGCAGTCAAAAAGCGTGACTATGGGACCCAGTAGATCTCTGCCACGTGTTCCTCTTTAAGTTGTTGGGTGTGGAGGAGTGCGCGCGGGTGGTATGGTAGCTTTCTCTTCTCTATGTTATGACTCACTATTTTTAGTTCGTAAATAGACCGATGACGTGGCATTGTAACAGAAAATATTATAAGTATAATATCTCTTACATTCGGCCCTTTCGCTTTGTACTTTGTCTCTAATTCTACTTCCGGAATTTACGAAACAAAATTAATTACTTTAATTATTATTATATTTTTATGCAAGTGTTTATTACTCTCTCATTATTTTAATTGGTTTAATAATAATTTTGACACGACATTTTTTACGAGTTATCACTTTTTTTTTGGGTTTAAATAATGACTTAAATGACAATTTTTTATCTAAAATTTTTTAAAATATTATTTTATTATTTAAATTTTTATTTTGATGACGAACGAATAATAAACTCAATCCAAATTATTAGAATTTTTGAAGAAAAGAGACTGATGAGTTTTTTGATGGTAAAAAATTAGATTTTAGTAGTTAAAATTGATTGAATTTGACTTAGAAGGGGTGATTACACAAATTCTAATTGTTCAATTATTAACGATGGGTGAGATCAATGGGTTTGAAGGGTTTTGGTAAGTGGTGATCAGAGAGGAAAATGGTGACAATTTTAGGTCGTAATATATCATAATCAAAAATAGAATATAAATTTAATAATAAAATTATATTTTAAAAGCTTGAAAATGAAAAACAGATATTAAACTATTATTTTGGTGAAAAAAAAGTAGTTTAACCGCATTTAATTATACACTGTATTCGATTATTTCTATGTGCGAAAGGGCCATTGAATTTCTTCACTACACTACACTAGACGTAGCATTCTCGGATTTGCATTGATTTTGGTGGCTTGAAATGGTCAATAAAATAAAAGCTTGGCACCCAACTTCCATTATTACCAATCAAAAAACCACTTTATTTTCAACAACAACCATTCCCAATTCTATAATTATTTTATCAATTTACAATTAAAATATCTAAATTCAAAACTACATAAATTTAACCAATAAATCCAAATTATCCTATTAAAACAAAAATAAATTAAAGTATTACTTTTAATTAAAAGTCTCTTAAGAAAGATAGTGTTTTTTTTTTTTTTTTTGGACAAAGTATAAAATGAATTTTAAAGGATCTAAAAATAATATTAATTTGGGAAAAAAATTAAAGGCATTCAAATTTCTTACTTTAATTGAAAGTGTACAGCTCAGCCAAATTCATCCTACTGTTTCTACTAGATTATTGTTAAAGAATTTTGATTATGTGTCAAGAATAATTTAATAAAAGTTGATATAAAAGAAAATATAAAAAAAAAGTTTGCTAAGATCATCAACATATCCCAACACAATTTATTTATTAAAAAAAAATAAAAAATTCAGAAGTGTAAATTATCATGTAATCTTTACACATAAAAACCCTAAGACACACTGTTGTAAGAACAAATCCATTCTGAATCAATCCTGACCGTCCATTCATTTACTAACGGTTCAGATCTCTCTTCCTCTCAACTTATTACTGCCTTCATCTTCCACACTCCACTCTCGCTCCCTTTCTATCTCTCTCAAAATGGCTAAAGCCTCCATCAATTATCCACTCTCAATCCGATCCATTTCTATTTATATTTAACTAAGTCTACTCTAACACAATCAAAACTTAGTTTTTGCTTTCTGGGTTTTGTTATCTTAATTCTTGTAGACATGGATTCTTGGTTTTGATCATAAAAATCATATCTTTTGAGCTTCAAACGACAAACCCATTTGGATATTAACAATATTCAGCTCAAAGTTTCAATCTTTAGCTTAAAGTTTCAATCTTAATGTGTAAATGATCGTTGACAATTTTCTTCTTGTTGTAATTCGTCTTCAAAGATGATGCCAGATATTTCAGTACGATCATCCATGTTTAAGAGCCCTGATTACGTTGAAGATTTAGGCAAGCTGATTCGTGAACAAAAGCAGCAGCAGCAGCAACAACAACAACAAACATCAGTCAATACTGCAACTAGTGCGACTGATCTTGAGAAAGAACTCAATATTTATCGAAGTGGGTCAGCCCCACCAACTGTTGAAGGTTCTTTAAGCTCAATAGGTGGTTTGTTCAAGCAACTTGGGAACAACAAAGGTGGCTTCTCGAGTGAGGAGGAGTTGAGGGCTGATCCATCGTATGTAAATTATTATTACTCTAATGTCAACTTGAATCCAAGGTTGCCTCCACCTTTGTTGTCCAAGGAGGATTGGAGGTTTACACAAAGGCTGAGAGGAGGTGGAGAAGTGGGAGGGATTGGTGATAGGAGGAAGGGAAATGGGTCGCTTTTTGCGGTGCAGCCGGGGTTTGGAGGGAGCGATGAGGAGAATGGTGGAGCTGGTGGTGGCGGTGGAGGAGAGTGGGGAGGAGATGGGTTGATTGGGTTGCCTGGGTTGGGGTTGGGAAGTAGGCAGAAGAGCATTGCAGAGATCATTCAGGTGAAAATTTGGTGATAATTGTTGTGGTGTTGGTTTGGTTTAGTTTAGCTGAATAAATGTGATTTTGGTTTGGTTTCTTCATGACAAATATTATTTTTTGGTTTTTAATATGTTAGACTGGGTAGGAGTAATGTGATGTCTTATTGATGGATGAAATTGACTGATGGGAAGTTATTGTGTCATGCTAATTGTAAGTGGATTATCACGTTGAAAATTTGTGATTTGTTGTGTCTGATAATGTTTGTAAATGGTTGTGGAATTTTAGTAGACTAAGGAATGCATTTAAACTGAAAAGGCCATATTTTGATGATTATATGGATGGTGCTTGAGTAATGAACACATGTGTATACATTTCCTTTCGTGTAAATATTATGCTTTATGTCATATAGTGTTTCCATGTTTTTCCATATTGATAATGACTATTTGTGTGCCTTTCTCATAAAGGAAAGAGAGAGAAAAGGAAAAAAAAAAAAAAGAGTTGAGTTTGTTGTTGAAGGTTTAGAAACATGAAATTAGTTGCAACGAGTGCTAGGCTTTATCATTCTGTCAATGGGACTTAATTTATATGCCCATTTCTGTTGTTTGTTTAACTTCCTCATGTTGCTGAACTTGCCTCCTCTCTACTTGGTTGCTCTCAAGTGATCTGTTCACAATTAAGTTTTGTTTTATAATGTTGCCAAGGGATGAACCTGTCATTATCTACACTAAATGAACAAATTAATAGCATTAATACCGTTCTCCTTTGGTGGTTTGGAAGTGCTGATGTAGTGGGCAATGATTTGTGACCCTGTCACGAAGAGGCACCAAATAGGGGAGTCCTCACTGGCTTTGCATTTTTGGAAATATTACTGTAATTTGAAATTCTGTGAATTTTCTAAATGATAATGCATCTTTTGTGATTTACTTCCCTAGTGTGCTTGATTCTTTTTCGCGAATTGTTTCCATTCAGCCTTTTGTGGTGTACATGCTTTGTGTTTCTTGGCTTGAATAATAGTGTAATAGATATGTGCACAGTTTTTTTCTTGACCTTTTTACGCCTCTTTTCTCCCTCTTGACAAATGCTTCATACTTTGTTACTTTATAGCAGGATGATATAAATCATGCAGCCCCTGTCTCAAGGCATCCTTCTCGTCCTGCGAGCCGCAATGCATTTGAGGATGGTGTTGAGACTTCTGAAACCCAGTTTGCTCATCTGCATCATGATTTGGCAACCATTGATGCTTTGCGTTCTGGTGCAAATAAGCAGGGTCTGCCTGCTGTACAAAATGTTGGTGCATCAGCTTCTCATTCTTATGCATCTGCTTTAGGTGCTTCCTTGTCGAGAAGCACCACACCTGATCCACAACTTGTAGCTAGGGCTCCCAGTCCTCGCATTCCACCAGTTGGAGAAGGGAGGGGTAGCATGGATAAAAGAAATGTCGGCGTTCAAAACTCATTAAATGGTGTTTCTTCAAGTTTGAATGAGTCTGTGGAGCTAGCAGCTGTTTTGTCTGGCCTGAATCTGTCAACGGATGATATGGTAGATCAAGAGAATCATTCACGGTCACAAAATCAACATGAAATTGATGATCGCCATAGTCTCTTCAATTTGCAAAGTGATGCAAACCACATGACACAAAATTCATACTTAAATAAGTCGGAACCTGGGCATTTTCAACTGCATTCCGCTTCCCACTCTACTAAGGGATCTTATTCAAATATGGGTAAAAGCAGTGGGCTTGGGATTGGTATGAACAACAATTCTTTCATGGCTGATGTGCATAAGCCTGCTTTGTCATCTGCCAACTCATACCTAAAAGGACCCTCCATTCCAACTCTAAATGGTGGAGGAAGTTCACCTTCTCAACCTCAAATGGTTGGCAACATGAATTCTGCATTTTCGAACTTTAGTTTAAATGGGTTTGCAATGAATCCTTCATCGCCACCCATGATGGGAAGCCCGATGGGAAGTGGTGCTTTGCCACCGTTATTTGAAAGTGCTGCTGCCGCCTCTGCAATGGGAGCAAATGGTCTGGACTCTAGATCATTGGGGACAAATTTGGGTTTAGGACCAAATATAATGGCAGCAGCAGCAGAATTGCAGAACATTAATAGACTGGGGAATCACACTTCTGGAAATGCTCTTCAGATGCCTCTGATGGACCCATTGTATGTTCAGTACTTGAGATCAAACGAATATGCTGCAGCACAGGTTGCAGCTCTCAATGACCCCGCAATGGACGTTAATAATTCATATATGGATTTGCTTGGACTCCAGAAAGCTTACCTAGGAGCACTGCTGTCACCTCAAAAATCTCAGTATGGTGTACCCTATCTTGGTAAATCCGGTAGCTTGAATCATAATTTCTATGGCAATCCTGCATTTGGTCTTGGCCTTCAGTATCCTGGGAGTCCCCTTCTTCCAAATTCTCCTGTTGGATCGGGTAGTCCTGTCAGGCATGGGGAGCGTAATATGCGCTTTTCTTCTGGGATGAGGAATCTATCTGGGGGTGTCATGGGACCTTGGCACTCAGAAGGTGGTGGGGGCTTGGATGAAAGTTTTGCATCCTCTTTATTGGATGAGTTTAAAAGCAACAAAGCTAAATGCTTTGAACTGTCAGAAATTGCTGGTCATGTTGTTGAGTTCAGGTATATAATCTGCTGCTTACACTTTTAGTCTTCTTAGTTGTGGTAATCAAGAAGTTTAATTCTTCATTTATTATCATGTATACAGTGCGGATCAGTATGGAAGTCGGTTTATTCAACAGAAGCTTGAAACTGCCACAGCAGATGAGAAAAATATGGTTTTCCATGAGATCATGCCCCAAGCACTATCATTAATGACTGATGTGTTTGGTAATTATGTGATTCAAAAGGTACTTCTAATGTATAACAACTGATTTTCTGTGACCTTCTTATGGGGTTTGTGGTATTATTATTCTGGATAAAGGGGCTCCATTGTGAAAATTCTGTGCATGTTCAATAATGTTGTGGATACTGTCTAAGACAATCATAGAATGTTGACTTTTTGTGGCTATTATTTCGTTTTTATCTTCAGTTTTTTGAGCATGGAACTGCTGCTCAAATAAGAGAACTTGCTGACCAATTAACTGGGCATGTGCTGACTCTTAGTCTCCAGATGTATGGTTGTCGAGTGATCCAGAAGGTATCTTTTATTTAGTCAATCCAAGTTTTTGAGATTTCATCTTCATTTTGAGAATTTGTGTTGCAGATCTTGATGCATAGATGTTTCATCATCCTACACTGTATGATGTATGATTCATAAGATTGGATGCAAGGGTTAATTAATCTATTACATTTTTTATATTTTACATTTTAGGATTGAATCACACTTTGATCTTATCAGGCAATAGAAGTCGTTGAATTGGACCAGCAGACTCAAATGGTGACAGAGCTTGATGGTCAAATCATGCGTTGTGTTCGTGATCAGAATGGGAACCACGTCATCCAGAAATGTATTGAATGTGTACCTGAAGATTCTATCCAGTTCATTGTTTCAACATTTTATGACCAAGTTGTGACACTGTCTACTCATCCTTATGGTTGTCGTGTCATACAGGTTTGTAAACCCTATATTTTTATGGCACATTTTTTGTTTCAGATATCATGACTAGGAGTGATCAAGCTCACACTTCTAATACGAAAATGTATATATATTCATGTGGCAGAGAGTCCTGGAGCATTGCCATGATGCAAAAACCCAAAGTATAATGATGGATGAGATTCTGGCGTCAGTTTGCATGTTGGCACAAGATCAATATGGGAATTATGTTGTACAGGTTTGTTTTAATTCTTGATTTATTAACCCACCAGGGCTAATTGTACTTATATGGCTTGTCAATGCTGTTAATGGTGTTTATTAGTGGGGGTTATTTATTCCAAGCAGATGAATTGGGCAATAACTGACAATGATATACATATTTTTGCCTTGATGTGCTGCACTTTGCAACATTTAAGCCCTTTTTATGGATGCTGAGCCAGTTGAGTGGAAAAACCTATAAGAAGTTCATTTTATGGATCTGTTGATTGAGAGAAGCAACAAAACACAGCATTGACCAGAGAGCTGTTTTGGCACTGAAACTTAAACAGAACTTCTGTTGGTGATTTAATGGGGAAAATTATGGTCCTACTTTTGGGTCAGTAGAGTGTGCAAGTTTTAGCAATTTAGCATTTATTCCTCGACTAAGCTTTTCAAACTATTAAATGTTGAAGAAGTGAACTACAGAATCTGTGTGAAATATAAGTTTGGTCTTCCCTTCTGTGCTGAGGGTTTCAGGCTTGCCCTTTTGCTATTGAGTTACTGATACTTTCTTTTTTGTCAGTTTCTTTCCTTTTTGTGCAAGTCCGTGGAGTCTGGTGTGCAAAATATTGTATAATAACTATATTCTCTGTCCTCCCTCTACCCCTTTTCTTAATTTAAACTTCATTGTTGCCTCACTTTTGATTTCTCGTTTATAATGTCACAGCATGTACTGGAGCATGGAAAACCCCACGAGCGCTCAGCAATAATTAAAAAATTAACTGGGCAGATTGTTCAAATGAGCCAGCAGAAGTTTGCCTCCAATGTTATAGAGAAGTGTTTAACTTTTGGAACTCCTGCAGAACGCCAGACCCTGGTGAATGAGATGCTCGGTTCAATTGATGAAAATGAACCTCTTCAGGTTTGTTGGTTTCCAATATGCTCCTCATATTGCTTTTAACTTCTATTGTTTGGTTGTGTTGATTATCTGAACTAATAGTGTTCTTATTTTGATATTTTTTTTTTCCACCTGTTTATATCAGGTGATGATGAAAGATCAGTTTGCAAACTATGTTGTACAGAAGGTGCTGGAAACTTGTGATGACCAGCAACTTGAACTTATTCTCAACCGAATAAAGGTTCACTTGAATGCTTTGAAGAAATATACTTATGGGAAGCATATAGTTGCACGTGTAGAGAAACTTGTTGCAGCCGGGGGTACGTAATCTTGCATTTTTTACATTTTGGTTCTTCGCCTTATTCCAACCCTAGTCAAAGAACATGTTTCTAACAAGTTGCTTTTATCTTTTGCAGAAAGGAGAATTAGCATTATGACTCCACATCCTGCGTAGAAGGCGTAGAAAAGGAAGTTGTTGTACAGCTAACTGAGGATAGTACGAGTGCCTCTCTCTTTTCAATTTTTTTCTCTTTAATGTCTAGTACCGGCTCCGTCTATTTATTTGGATAGATTGGAGAGCTGATTGGAAATAAAAAATATTGTTGGTTGTACTTAAAACTGTACATTTGTTAGTTTGAGGATATACCTAGAATCAGGCTAGCTGTGGCTCAGATGGTGAAAAAAACTGATGCCCTGAAGAGATAATTTTACTGTATAAGTTTTAAGGGTGTAAAAAGGGAAGAGGTAGTAAAATTGTGATCGTGCCTGTACAAAAATGTTGTTAGGCGGAGACAGCCTTTGGGGGAGTTTGGCATTTTTCCAATGTTATGGATTGTTTTTTCTTTGTTTAAGGAACCTTTTTTTTCCCAATATCATGGTTCGGTATCTTGATGGTTTGGTTTGGTTATTTTATGATGCTGGTTACATGAATTGTATGCATGATCGATGACCGTCGATTGAGATTATAGGCCAAAAAGATCATGGCAATAAGAATCACTGGAGTTTAAACTAGAGAGAAGTTGCCTGGGATTTTTTTGAAGTTTTACTTGAAAAACAAAAATTTATATATATATTGGTAGAAATCACTGATTTTGAGAAGTATGGATTAATGGGTATTTAACATCTCTTGTAGTTTCTTGTATAATGTTTTTGTGGAGTCTTTAATTTCTCTTCCAATTTCAATGACTCTTTTAAGTCTTAATCACCTTCCAAAATTATTCCATTTCTGAAACAAGTATTACGCTGGGCAAGATTTTGCATATTTTCATGAACGGCTTCAAGCCATCAGCTGATGCCTGATCGTACGAAACCCGTTAACCTGAAAACAATCATACACTTTCCAGCTTCAGATATTCAGTGTGAGCTTTGCCATCCATTTTCCTCTCCAAAGTGTGTCTAATGTAATCGACGTACTTAATCTTTCTGTATAGCTTGGGGCGATGCTTATCGTCCATCATTGATTCCAGTGGACCAATTTCCAACTCTTCATTAGGCATCATAAATGTAGCTATTGACATTCTTGCTTTATTCACATTTGTGACAGCCCTGTGTTCAATGCTTTTGTAGACGCCATTGCTCCATGCCTGGGAAAAAAATTTCAAACACATTAGATGTTTAACACGTACATTTTATCAGCAGTTCTATGAGTAGTAAAAGTTGAGTTGTCAAGCACCTCAGCAACATCGCCGATGTTCACAACGAGTGCATTTGGAATCGGTTTTACAGGAACCCATGTTCCTTTGTGCCTAATTTGGAGGGCAGTGATCTCATCATCTTGCAGAAGTAAGGTTAATGCACTTGCATCAGAATGGGCGCTAACACCAAGAACAAGATCAGGCCTCGAGCAAGCTGGATAGTAGTTCAGTCGCAATGCTTGTTTCATCTCTCCGTACAACTTTTTCAGTCCATCTTTATCCATTCCCATCAGCAATGATAGCTTAGCAGCTAGTTCATCACTTAACTTCTGCATTTCGGCGGAGTAGTTTTCTACCGCCTCCCTGTCACAAGAAATGTACACGATGGAAAGACTTAGAGAAGAGAATCTAAATGTGATTAATTCAATGTTTGTCACTAAATCATTCCTTAAATGCATACTTGAAGCCGGGTAATGTCAATGGCCAGTGCTTGAATATCCTAATCTCAGGTGGGAGAGTCATTAAGAATATCAGGTCACCCCAATCAAGTTTTTGCTCCTCTGAGACGACATAGCCTTGTCCATATCCTTGAAGATCATTTTCTGCCATAGCATACTTCTTTTTCTCTTCCAGGGGAAGTTCATAAAACGCTGCTACGGCCGCTTTCATATTATCCAAAACCTTCTGCGGCACCCCATGATTTGTTATCTGCAAATTTACATTTCAGGTTAGACGTCTTTATTGCATAGCATCACAAACTATTGACTGTTACAATTACTAGAAATACCTGAAAGAAACCCCATTCCTTGCAAGCAATGTCTAGTTTTCCAAGTTCATCTTCATCTCCATTTTCCAGCAAGGAGAAGTTTATTACTGGTATTTCGGATGAATTAGGAGAGAACTCAGAGTCAACTGTCGGCCTGTCCTTGCGTTCTTGTATGTATTTTTCAGGTACAATCTGAGAGTCATTCCTCACGATCTCCTGAACACTTGGTACAGGTAATGATTTTCCCCAACCTAACCCCTCCTCTTCTTGCACATAACTATTCTCAGCTTTTGGCTCCATTTGTTTTCATGTATTCTTGTTCACGTTCAGCAGGAATATTAATATTAGCTGATTGCTTCGTTCAATTCAAGTAAAATTGGAATCTATAATTTCCTTTTTTCTGAAAATTCCTTTCGGAATTACTGGAGTTTTCTTCTTGTTTGACTACCCAAATTATAATGTTAAACAATATAAAGAATAATGAATGTGGTTGAGAGAATGACTTCCTGGAAAGTCCTTGGAGTTTACTTCTTGTTGGACATTGTTTATGGCTATCCAATGGCGGCAATTTACTCAAAACTTTGGCGTTTTGGAACAAGATAGAAAATGCCTTAGAGTAAGACTCAAGCCAAAGAAAATTTCTGTTTTCAAATATAGACTCGTTGGAATATCTAAGGATATAAAATTGGGTGGATTATGCTTCTCCAAGAATCGGTACGATGCCTTCGTCATTTTATTAGAAATTAGAAACCACTCTGTCAAGTCGCGAATTGATTACTGATGGGAAAATTCAAGTTAATGAAAACAGCATATGCAGCAAATCAGTGGGCTGAGCCACAGTGAAACGACAACTTTATTCTTCTACTAGAAATTTCAGTAACAACTGACCTTCCATTAACAATAAATTGAACTAGAGACTTTGCAATTACTCGTAATAAAAACTTGAATCATTACTAGAAATCCAGTAACAGGTACGGGAAACAATATCACTAATTATACCATCAATTGGGAGGACAAAATGTTATGACATAACGAGGAGCCCTGCAAGTTTTAAGCCCTGTAGCATCATCATAGGCATAGCTATAAGCCCTGGGGCAAATTGCTTTAAAGACATTGGAAAAAATAGTTGGCTTGCAGCTTTTAGGATTGGCAAACTCCCCAGTGCAACAATACCTATCCGATTTTGCAGCAACACAAGCACTCTTGCAGGCCACCACTTTCCCTTGTTGTTTCACAGCCAAATTAGTAGGGCAGCAGATGTTCAAATCAGCCTCACACGCTGCGACTCCACAGCCTGCACTACCACCTATAGGTGCCATTGAAACAGGAACATTGAATCCATCAACAAGACTCACATCATAGTAATGCAAGGAAGATTCCAGGGTGCCAAGAGTCATTTCTACTACTGTTGCTGGAGGGACTCCACCGATGCCATTGCATTGCAGGAGACCGGCGCAGTCCCCAGTTTGGCATGAGCCTTTGCCGGTTGTTTGGTCGAAACAGCAGCCTTGTCTTGGCCAGATTCTGCCTGACCATTTATCAGGGACTTCAAGAACTGTTTGCTCCCCACTGAAGAGGCAGAAGCCACCTTTGTAAGGAGTTTCATGTCCAGCAGTTCCGAGGATTCCAGGCCATATGCTTTCGTTGCAGTTGTTTACTAGTATGAGCTGAATGCCATCTGCAAGAAAACATCAAAAAGAACCATTTTGGTAAGAAAAAAAACTGATCAGTTCAAATGGGTTTTTGTGAGAGGGAAACAGAGAGTACCTGATAATGACAGGGAGGAGAGTATGCAGAGAAAGAAGAAGCAGAAGAAATGTGAAGAAGTTGGCATTTGTTTTGAATTTTGGTAATGGGAAATGGTGGTTTCATTTTCATATAAGCAAATGAATCGTGATGGTGCTTGCATGTTTCCTTCTTTTTCTCCACTATGAAAGACTTTCAACTTTAGATAACCGCATTTTCAGAAACGGTTTGTGAACAAAGCAAAAGAGATTTCTGTAAAAGTTTGCAGTTGATTTTTCCAGACAGTTAAAAACATTACCTTTCCACTGTGAAAATTGGCAAACTGGTAAACCCATTTATACATATTTGGTGATTTTCCCACACAGGTTTATTAAAAAAAATGGCATATAAAGTATCAAATCTACCATTTTCATAGGAAAATAGAATGATTCCAAAGTAACAAATCTTGCTTGTGCCTTTTTAACATAAGATTCTATTCTTCCTGTGAAAGGATCCTTTTACAGAATGTGATAGATAAAGCCTGTTTCAAATAAATAAGGGAGATTTTCAATTATTAGATTTCTGGAGCTTCCGAGCCTTTTCCCATGTGTCAAGTTTCACTTTCATGTGCTTATGTTCATAAAATTCAATTAAACTCAGCACTAATCACTGTTCAATCCATCTTAATTTTCAAAAAATTAAGATATAAAAATTCGGAACTTTATAAACCACTGAATGATGTTAATTAATTTTGGAATTCAGCTTAAACTGCGTATCCATCTCAAATTAATCACATATAAAAGCAGATTAATCGAAAATTATGTCTTTCGGGTGTTATATTAAAACAAAAATGATCTGGATCTTCAGCTGAGAAGAATTAATGAATTTTAAGTTAATTTCAATTGGGTTTCATACAGATAAAAAAAAAAGTATCAAAAAATAAGCTGAAAGTGGAAAAAAATTAATTGGAATGAAACCCTAACCCTAATGTCAGTTAATAAAATTAACATAGTCAACTGCCTGTTTGTTTCTCGCGAAAACAGAGTTTAAAATGGTTAATAGGATTAAACGTAACGGTCATGAACCAGAAAACTGGGCGGTTCAAAACGGCGGCAAAACGGCCGGTCCAGGATAATCGTTTTCTTTTTGATGATACAAACAACCGTTTGTGAAGCAACCGGGAGTTCCGGTTTCTCACTTACTAAAACCGGTTCACTTCATCACGTGTCCATATGACCGAGTAAACCCGAACTAATTGTGGATAATTAAACCGGGTAAGACAGTACCCTAACCGGTCTGTCCGGTTATTCTCTTTTCGGTTTATATCTCGCCCAAACCTCCCTTAACTCGGTTCTCTCTCTTGCCCTGGCTTTCAAAAGAGAGACTCTTCAGCACTACTGCACAAGTAAGTTTCCCATTCTCTTTCAGTGTTACTTTTCTTTCAATTTATACATTTTATTGGAAAACTTATTTTGTGTTTTTGTTTTTGTTTTTTATTTTTTGTTATATTTTAAGAACTTTAATGGGTAGCTTTTTGTTCCAAGTATGCATAATATTATCCGTCTCTTTTTTGGTTTATATTTTGTGAAGTTTAAAGTTAAAATGGCATTTTAGTAGCTGTCATGGGTAGTCCATGTTAAATTAGTTTAGTTTTGTAAGATGACTCTAGTTCTGGTGTATTATGCATTGTTTTTGGTGAAGAGTAACTTTTAGTCTTTTTAGTATTAACATACTTGTGTTTTGTGTATTGCATATCTAAGGTTGATGCCATGGCATCTAGACCAGAACTGATACCGATAACATCACAAAAACATGACCCAGCATGGAAGCACTGTCAGATGTTTAAAAATGGGGATAGAGTACAATTGAAGTGTGTTTTTTGTGGTAAAGTATTTAAGGGTGGTGGGATTCATAGGATTAAGGAACATTTAGCTGGCCAAAAGGGTAATGCATCTACTTGTTTGCGTGTTTCACCTGATGTTCGCCTTGAAATGCAACAAAGTTTAGATGGGGTTGTGGTAAAAAAGAGGAAGAAGCAAAAGATTGCAGAAGAGATCACGAATAATAATCCGATTTCTAGTGAGATAGATGTCTTTGAACAGGGTGATCTTGGTACTGGTTTGCAATTGACAGAGGTTTCAAATACACCTGAACCTATAGCTAGTTCGAGTGTGTTGGTTAATAGAGAAGGAACAAGTAATATTAGTGGAGATAGGAAAAAGAGATGGAGAGGGAAACATCCTTCTGTGAATACTTATGCAGTTGGTATGTCAAGTGTTTCATTAGCTGCTAAGAGAGTGAATAATCCTCTCTATATGGCTATAGGGCGGTTTTTTTATGATATAGGAGCACCGCTAGATGCTGTGAACTCAGTTTATTTCCAACCAATGGTTGATGCTATTGCCTCAGGAGGATCAGAGGCTGTAATGCCTTCATATCATGATATTCGGGGTTGGGTTTTGAAGAATTCAGTTGAGGAGGTGAAAAATGATATTGATAAATACACGGCAACTTGGGGAAGGACTGGTTGTTCTGTTTTGGTTGACCAATGGAACACTGAAATGGGTAGAACTTTGCTGAGTTTTTTGGTATATTGTCCTGAAGGAACAGTGTTTTTGAGATCAGTTGATGCATCTGGAATCATAAATTCCTCTGATGCTCTTTATGAATTGCTTAAGCAAGTGGTGGAAGAAGTTGGAGTTAGACATGTGTTGCAAGTGATCACTAGTAGTGAAGACCAGTATATTGTTGCTGTGAGAAGGTTAACTGATACTTTCCCTACTCTGTATTGGACTCCATGTGCAGCTCGTTGCTTGAACTTAATAATTGAGGATTTCGCGAAGCTTGAGTGGATTAATGCAATAATTGAACAGGCTAGAGCCATTACTAGATTTGTGTACAATCATAGTGTGGTTTTGAATATGGCAAGGAGGTATACTTTTGGAAATGATATTGTAGAACCGGGAATCACTCGCTCTGCCACAAACTTTACAACATTGAAAAGGATGACTGACCTTAAACATAATTTACAGGCTATGGTAACTTCACAGGAATGGATGGATTGTCAATATTCAAAAAAACCAGGGGGACTGGAAATGTTAGATATAATAAGTAATCAGTCATTTTGGTCATCATGTAACCTGATTGTTCGCTTAACAAATCCTCTCTTGCGACTTCTGGGAATAATTAGTAGTGAGAAGAGGCCTGCAATGGGATACATATATGCTGGAATGTATCGAGTAAAAGAAACAATTAAGAAAGAACTCATTAAGAGGGAAGAGTATTTGGTCTACTGGAATATTATAGATCACTGCTGGGAACAACAATGGCATCTTCCTCTTCATGCTGCAGGGTTCTTCCTGAATCCCAAGTTCTTTTATAGTATAGACGGTGATATGCCCAGTGAGATTGTGTCAGGAATGTATGACTGCATAGAGAGATTGGTTTCTGATACAACTGTGCAGGATAAAATCATGAAAGAGATAAACTCATATAGGAATGCTGTTGGAGATTTTGGGAGGAAGATGGCAATTAGAGCGAAAGATACTTTACTTCCTGGTGAGGACCAATTCTATTAGATTGTCTGGTTATTTTCAGCTTTATATTACGTACCATCTTTGCTTTTATGGGAATTTACTTTAATTTTTCAAAAAATACCAGTAGCAGGAGGGTGAGTGTGAAGAAGCTCTATTTTATGTGTGTTTAAGCGTATAAAAAAAAAAAAAAAAAAAAACTAATTAGATGCAGAATAAAGCGGGGTTTGCTTACAAATGCAGATGAAAAGCTAATATAGATAATTAATATTTGTGAGGAGCAGTTTTCATAGTCATTTATTACTAAAAACTCTTGAGAAGTCCCTAATGTTTTCTATTGGGTATTTGGTGGGAAACATTTTGTTGCTTATAGTCTATGTAGTTCCAACTATCATGTGATGGATCAAATTGCTTGCATATCTGGCATTAATGTCAGAGGCACTGCATGTTTTGATCATTATATTTTTTTGCAAGAAGCCTTATAATAAGGCTTACATTAAGCTGATGTTTTACTACCTATCTGCCATAGCGGAATGGTGGTCAACATATGGAGGAAGTTGCCCAAATTTGGCACGTTTGGCAATCCGCATTCTCAGTCAAGCATGCTGTTCGATGGGATATAAGCAACATCAGATTCCTTTTGAACACATCTATGACACAAGGAACTGCCTGGAGCGTCAGCGTCTCAATGACCTTGTATTTGTTCAGTACAACTTGCGGCTGAGACAAATGTAAGTAGAAAATATTGGGCCTGGATATGTTTATTGTTGGTACCCTAAAATATCTAAGATGAGAAAATCATATTATTTCACATGCTGAATTTTTACAGGGTCAGCAAAAACAAAGAACAGGATTCTATGGACCCCGTGTCATCTGATGGCGTTAACACTGCTGAAGACTGGATCACGGGGAAAGACGTGTGTTTGGAGGACTATGGGACCTCAGACTGGATGGCACTTGATCCACCGGCTTCTAATACAATGCTTTTAGGATCTGCCAGTGATGAAGTTGAAGAGCTAGGTGAAGGTAGTTATAGTTCCTTGGATGTAAAATAGTATTCAATGAACTTTCAGCTTTGCACTGAGTTATAGTTTCTTATTTTGATCAATGTGCAGGTTTTGATGATTATGAGATTTTTAATAGAGTGAAAGATGGTGAGGAGGAAAATGTTGACGACAATCCAGTAAGTCAGTAGACCACAATCAAAGGGACACTCTTTTTTATGTAAATAATAAGTAGATTATTGTTGCCATTTGCACATTATCAACCCGACAAGGTAGGGTAAGTTATTTATCAATCTATCTCTGTTGCTACGATTGGAACCATGGAGGATGATGTATCCGAATGCTATTGTGGTTAGGAAGATTTAGGAATGTAATTGTAAAATCACTCTCACATTGGGTTTGCAGTGGTTCAATGTTAGCATTTTTGCTCCATTTTGAGGTCGGAGTTGTTGCCGTAAGAATAAATCTTTCACCCTTATATACAGAAAACTAATATTCTCATACAAATGCTGATATTCTTGTGAGTTATGCTTGACAGCAACCTGCAGTGGAGTCGGCATGCAAGAATTTCCTTGCATCTTCCTGCTGTTTCGTGCTTAACCATGGCAGCGATGATTTATTCTGCCTCCATGATCAAATTACATTCGCGTTCTTGATATTTTGGTAATAGAAGCCATGTTCAATTCTATAAGCTTCCTAAAACACTTAATTCCAAGGCAGTGATTATAAATGATTCTAAAAAGATAAGCATTGTTGGCCAGTAGTAGTATAGAAATCTGCCTTGATCGTTCTGAAATGTAAGTTCATCAGGATTAGACCACTGTAGCCAGAGTGACCAATTACAAGATCTTGAAATGGTCGGCTCCATCATTATTACATTCAAATCTGACCGGCCTTGTATTTTTCAAACTACCAGTTTCAAAAATCAACTAAATAAAATACCAGTTTTTCATTCGCACGCTCTCTCTCCAATAAGAATACGAAAGCTGATGGCTTGGTATACTTTTGTCTAATCACTGCAACTACGTGTTGAACTTAGACTTATTTTATAAATGCAATTTGGTCTTGGCTCTATCTAAGTTTTGGAATATGAAAAATGTGGAGCGTCCCAAATTGTTAAAGCTACATCTGTCAAAGAACCCAACGAATATGAGATTTGCTAAAATGGTACTCTGAACGTACTGCATATTATTTCATTTTGGCAAGGCTGTTTCTGATGTAGTGTTGTTACTTTCTGCTTTACAAACCCATGTGCAGAGAAAGGCTAGTTCGAAGAAGCCCACCGACCAATAATTATCATTTATGTGACATGATAGATGCTTTTTTTCTGTCTTCTAGCAGGAGAAAGTACTGAAAACGAGGCCAAACTCAGTTCCTTGTTTTATAGAGCAAATGGTTTTGCAGTGGAGATTGAAGCATAATAACAAGATAACTACACTACCCTCTTTAATTTTGAGTTTCCTGGATTGTCAGAATGAGATTGAAACATTAAAAATTACCTACTCTATTAGTTGGCAGGTTATCTTTTATCCTCTGTTCATTGATTAAAGTTTATTTTAAGTCCACTTGATCTTTGAATATTGGGAGCCAAAACAAGTCTGCTTCAGCCACGTCTTCCTGGGTATCACCTACCTCTTGGCTAAATTTTGAAGGGTTCATAATTTAAATTTCTAGAAAACAAAATTAACAGAGAAAGGGAAAAACAAGCAAAGAAGCAACTTCTATAGACTCCAGCTATTAAGATTACGGACTACAAATCAAGGCAGATTCTTTCATTGAGAAGCAATTTGATTTATGGACATCAGACAGAAGTATGATGGTATAATAAAAACCATATTGTTAAAAAAAAAAAAAAAAAAAAAAAACCCACCAAGGGAAAAAAGAGAAAAAAATTGGAAAACCCATTTCCCTACCATAACTATCTAGCATCATCTCTTACTGTAAGTGAGACTGGCGAAGATAAGCCTACTTCAAGATCAACATCTGCATCGTTGAGGGGTGATGACCAATTACTCACTTTCTCATAATATGAAGAATTAGGGTATGAATGAACAAAATCCTCAAACTCAAGACTTTGACCACCACCACCACTAGTAGTAGTATTAACACTGATACCAGCAAATTCATCAAGTGCTTCAACCACTTCAGGCAATGCAACCTCTCCCTCCAAGTACCTCACCACTTGCCTCATTGTAGGTCGCGCGAAGGGCGAATTGTTTGAACACATTAGCCCCAATTTCACAACAATAATAGCTTCAATCTCATCAAACTCGCCATTCAATCTTGAATCCACTACCTCAAGAATTGCACCACCTTTCCATCTATCCCAAACCCAGTCAACCAATACGAGCTCTTCAGGCAATGCCTTTGGTTCAATAGGCTTTCTCCCACACACCACTTCAAGCATAAGTGCACCAAATGCATATACGTCTGAGCTTGTTGTGGGCTTGCCGATGCGTGTGAGCTCAGGTGCCAAGTATCCCAATGTGCCCACCACCCTAGTGGTGCTCGGATTTGATCCATGCTCATACAGCTTAGCTAGACCAAAATCACCTAGTCTTCCATTTAATTCAGAATCTAACAAGACATTTCCTGCCTTAATGTCTCTATGAATAACAGTTTGTTCCCACTCTTCATGCAAATACAAAAGGCCTGAAGCTACACCTTTGATAATCCTAAACCTCTGTTCCCAAGTGAGAATTGCTTTTGGTTCATCAAAAAGATACTTATCTAAGCTACCATTTGGCATATAATCATAAACGAGTAGCAAATCACCTCTGCGGCGACACCATCCTAGTAATTGAACAAGATTTCTATGCCTAAGACGGCCAATACTAGCAATCTCAGATATAAATTCTCTCAAACCTTGTTTAGATTCACGAGAAATTCTCTTAACAGCAACTTGGATATTAGAATTTGGTAGAGTTCCTTTGTAGACTCTACCAAATCCACCAAACCCAAGTAGCTCTTTGTCTCTAAAACCTCTTGTTGCTTTCTTTAATTCCTGATAAGAGAATCTATGAGGACCAACATCAAGCTCCCAATCTTCAATAACATCAGCATTCTTAATTTTCCAGACAAGATAAAAGGCTATTCCAACAACAAAAGCCGTGAATAAAAAAGCAGAGACAGAAACCCCAACAATTAATGCTGTATGACTCTTTTTAGGCCCAGGAAGTGAAGGAAGAGAAGACAAAGTCAAAGATTCAGCTTCTCCACTCATGTTAAAACTCCAACCCAGTATATAATGTGAGCTTGAAAGCATACCTGTTGATGCAGAGAAACCAACATACATAGTGTCTCGAATAATTGATGATAGATCCACAACAAATGACAAAATTGAAGATGTTGGTTTCGCAGAGAAAGGTGAAAGCTTCACATCTAATCGATTCGTTTCCGAGTCATAATCAATCCAGGCTTGTATAACCTTACCACTCTTGAGATTCAGCACTTGTTTTGTTGAATTTTCAAGAAAATAAGCAGCTGTGGCCGATGCATTTGATGTCATGCTATCAATATCAATACCAACATGATTACCATTGATATCACCAAACTCAAAATCTTGAACTGTATCAAATTCAACTGCAAATATCTGGTTGGTTAAATTCCCGTTATCACTTGCATTGAGGAGGCCAAGATATTGACTGGGAAGAGCACCGACAAGCTCTTTTGTAGGAGAGATTGTAAAAGCAAAACCATGGCCGCCAAGCTCTGGATATTCATTAATTATAGCAAAAGCAAAACAAGTAGAGAAAGATAGAGACTTGCTGTCAGTTGAGTTCTTGAACTTGATAGGAGATGAGTAAAAAGCATGCCCAAGAACTCGAGAAGTGGTGTTCGTTAACTTAAGTAAGCCATTGTCTTCAATCTCCGCAGCACCATTTAAGCTCATATTCATATCATTGGAATCACCACGGAATCCACTGAAAAAAAACTCATTCACTTGAGAAAAAACTGGGGTTGAAAGAAAAAGAAAGAAGCCCAAAAAAAGTCTGAATTTTTCTGCCATGGAAGGGAAAAGATTTGAGCTTTGTTTGATGCTGTGTTGTGAAAATGGTGTACTGATGAAGGATTTTCTGGAATTTGATAGTGGAGCATATCCGCCAGTTTGAATCCAGGGAAGGAAGGTGTAAAAATAAAATAAAATAATTTATTTTTTTCAAACTTTATAAAAGTTTGTTGCGGCTGTTGAATTAAAGTATTTTTATTTATTGAAGAATTCAAATGAGAATTTTGTTTTGGAGACAAAAACAAGTGAGAGTGTTGGGACTTTGACACTTTAACCTCTTACTTCTTAACGTTAAGGTGAGTTTAAACAACGTTAATTTTTTTTTTTAATTATATCACCTACAATACTTAAATGAGAAAACGTCAAAGACTACGATTATCCGAAACTATTAAATATTTTCTATTGTTAAAGTCTTTAAGGGAAGTTAAACACGAAATTATAAATTACCAAAATACCCTGTATGATGTTCTACCGACGAAAATATTTGATAAATTTTTTATATTCGTTAAAGTGTTTTCGATTTAAACATGATTTAGAGACTAATAAAATTAGTTTATCCTTTAAGCTAATAAAATAAGTGAATTACCTACTAATATATTATATTCTTTGTAACAATTAAATTTTGGATAAGTAGGAAAACAATTGATATTCCTTTAACAATTTTGTATTTATTAAGGATTTTTTTTTTTTTTTTTTTTTTTTTTTTTTTTTTTTTTTGATCCTGTGTGGGAAAGCAGTACAACAAACGACACCGTCCAGTCAAAAACACAACGACACGTTTAAAGATTGAATTGGGAGATAAGAGTTTAACAGATTAAAGTCTTTGCTGTCTCAGTCTTTTGTTTGTGGGGAAGGGATCATTATTAGTTTATTACACGTCTTCTCCGGCCTTTTCCTTTACTTTTGTTTTTATTATCAGAAATGCCATCTCTTTTTTTTATTTCTATTTTAAAGATTGGAAATTTATCAATTTCTAGTTTGGCCTTGGTTGAGTACACCCATAACACATAAGTATTAAAAACAAGTCTCCACCCCCCAATTTTGTTGTTAAAGTTCATTGATGACCCTTCCGTTTTCCCCCCATTTTTCTTTTCTTCTTTCTCCACCTTTTGCCCGCCAAATCGGATTGCTTTTGAATATAGCGTAATAGCATTTGGCATTGTCTTTAAGTTGTATTTGGCCTCTAGAAGCGTTACAGTCTAGATCCAGTCGCTAAGAGCACCAACGAGGTTAGAACTAGCCTTTGGTAGTTTGTCAAGGCCAGATCTAGCCTTTGTTGTAATTGTGAGGTTAAAATGATGCCCTTGAAGCCAAATTTGGTCTTTAGTGATACTCTCGTTATTATACTGTGTCATGGTATCTAGTGACATCGTAAGATTTCCATGACATTCAATGATATCGCCAATCACCATTAGTTGCAAGTCAAGCGGTAGCTACGTAGGGAAAGGGCAAAGGTTCAGGTTTTAGTGGTAAAAATGTCATTTCTCAACTCAAAATTTTTTTTAACGAAATAGGGGTTAGACTTCTATTTTCAATACTTGCAAGCACTCAACATAATTTCATTATATGTATGGGGTTTATTGAAATAAGGCTTTTTTGTTTCCCTTTTCTAGAATAATGTTAAGGAAGAATTTTTGAATAAACATCACGTCGGTGAAGAAAATGGGTAGGTGCATCGTGGTCCATTAGACCACAAGATAAACGCTAAAAACATAAAACGTTTGCCATTGACGATGCTTACAGCTGACCCGACTTAGAAAGTCCACCAATGGAAAACCAGTTCCACATTTTTCTGCTTCTGCAACTCCATTTGTTTTTTTTTCCTCCGATTGGAAATGGAAGACGGCGACGCCCTCATTTTGCTCTTATCTTTAAACTAGTACAGCGCTAGTTTTTGCACCAGTCATCATCATCAATGTGTCAAACATTCAAACAAAATAAAATTTTCAGAAAGTTTTAGTACTGCATGTGGCTGCCTCCCGCCGTCCTGCAGCAGTAGCAAAGCGTGTGTTCCTATTATCTTGGGAAATTAATTAACATGTGATTATCGAAGTAATAACAACGTTGAAAAATGATTTTTCTTTTGTGTTGTCTTATCGACGTTGGAAATTGCTATCTCATTTTTGACATTTGCCAACATTTTCTGGGTCAGCGCAGCGGTGTCAATTGTCAAACTTCGAAGAAAATGAAATATGTTAAAAATTTAAGTCTTACACTTCGATGGCAGTGGTGTTTGGTCACCTATCACTTGGTTTTTTTTTACCATAACTATTATTTATTTAATAGACCAGATTCTTTATACGTTAATATATAATTATGTTTAAACCATAACTTAATTCGATATTTTAAGTTATTATGAACTTGTTTTCTATGTATTTATGTATTGAAACCTGTTAGTTTGGCGGCTGACAGAATAAAAACATGGGATGGAATTATCCTTATTTGTTCTCTTGCACTCAGAATGCTTTTGCATACCTCTCCCCTTGTGATCGGATGGTAAACCTTTTAGTCATTAAGGTTAGTTATATTTGAGGAGTATGTGTTCGAGTCGCAAGAAAGATATTTACTGTATTTGTTAGCGGTGTTCGATTCGTGGTATCCTGCATTTTTTAAAGGAACCGAAACCGACGGTTCCTTGAAATTTGGAACCAGAAATAATGGTTTCGGTTCCTAGTTACCCAGAACTAGAACCTGTAACAATGGTTCCGATTTCAGTTTTGGATTACCCTGTAAAATTCATGACCCCCCAAAAGTTTTTAAAATGGCAAAAAAACACTTAAAAACTTACAAATAACCCTCCACCTGGAACTTGTTAACAAAAATAAAATTACAAATTATAAATTCAAAATTAAAAACTCCATTACCTTGTAAAGATAGATTCTCAAAAGTCAAACCAACTTACTTTAAATGTTATGAAATATAAATATAAATGTATTCACGTTACTTTTTCTACAAAAGTTTTTATTAACCCCCCTACTCCTTAATTTTATTTTATATTAGTCTCAGTTCCTAGTTCCGGTTCCAAAAATTTGGAACCGGAACCTACCCGTTGACGGCCGATTCCAGGTAGGAACCAGAACCAAACCTCGGGTATTCGCCGGTTTCTGTTCTAATCGGTTCTTTTGAACACCCCTAGTATTTGTGCAATTACCTTGATCAAATAGACTTGTAGGGTGTTTTATGGCCCTAAGGATTAAACATGCTCCAATGTGGGTTTGAGTAACTCAGATACCAAAAAAAAAAAAAAAGTTTTTGCATTTAAATTTAATAAAGAAAAACAAAAACCAGCTAATTAACTTAGAATCAGTTTAATTATAGTGGTTAACGATATCATAATATATATTTACTTCTTTCATTAGTCATAATAAAACATATTTATTGAATTAAATTAGATTTGGGAAATTGGGGCATAATTAATGGAGAAAATTATTGCGCCCTCATTATCCCAAGCAAGAACTAGTTAATCCAGGTTATATATTCTTATCTTCACAGCCAGACAAGTTTCATGAAGAGATATGATCAAAGACAAATCGTAGGGATTCAAAACAAATAGAAATGAAGTCAAATTTGGAAATATAAAGAATGACAGAAATATGACTTCACGAATCCCGTTTCTTTGAGTTCCATGCTGGACTTGAGTGGGAATATGACTTAGTCTTGTTCGTAAATTGAAATTATTTTATTTTATTTTTCAAAGTGGCATGGTCTTTATCTTTTGAGTGAAACAGTATTTATTGTCTATTGGAATAAATATATTGAAAGGTTGAATTTTTTTTTTTTTTTTTTTGGTGACTGAGTGTTCGAGCCAGCTTGCGTACCTCAACTTATCCTTTGGGGTCCTGAAATTGATAGCCGGATAAATTCTTTCAGTGGCTACTCCTATTAACAACTTAGATGGATCAAACTCAAGACCTCTTGAGTAATACATCCAAGAATCTTAACTGACCACAAGGCCACCCAATAGTGGTTGGAAGGTGAATTTTCACCAATTGTTTAGAGTAATAACTTTAAGAAGGTTGAGGCAGTTATCTAAGTGCGGCATTATAATTCATTGAAGTGAGTGGATGTTGATACTTAATTCTCTTCTTCCTTACGTTGGGGTTGGTTTTCAATATGAATGTAATTACAAAATTGATTAGGGAAAGTTGTATCTACAATAAGTCAACAAAGACTTCAATTCTCACAGAAAGTTATCACATTGGATGAGAAATATAGTATTACCAAGTGCTTCTCACTTCACTTTTTTATCACTCCCTTTGTCAATTAAGAATGTTTTGCTTTACTTTATCCCTAATGTTTTGCCTTGATACAAGGTTTGGTTTTCTCCCCCCCATACAATTTAATAGAAACCAATTTAGTAAACGACATGTTCCCACCCAAGGTTTAGCGAAATAGCAAGTTTCCACCTGGTTTTATAAATTCTAGATTTCCACTATTAAATTAACAAAAAATTATTTAATGTAATGGTCAAAACCACACCCTTTTCCCTATCATTGCACATGTCGTTCGCCAGCCATAGCAATCGCGTCGCGAGACTATTCTTTGTTGGATTTCGATCGACTTGGGGTGACAACCTCTCCCACCCCTCATTTCGCCGATCACCGTACACAGTTTGTTTTAAGTGATTTTCACCTTTTTTCGGTCGATTAGGACATCGAAAATCCCTCTTGCGACCACCATTCAACTCATCGGCCTCCCACCTCCAAAAACCCCAACAGTGCCATCATTATTGCTCATGTTCTCGAATTCCTCTCTCCTTAGGGTTCATGATTTTGCTGTATTTTTGGGTTTGATTGGGTTCAAGTTGTTTCTAAGGAATTGAAAGGAGATTGTGCTTTGGAGGTTGGTTGGCATTGTTTCCGAAGTGATTTGTTTTGTTTTTCTAGGTTTATGAATTATTTCCGACGTTGAAAATCACTGGTTGTGAAGTTGGCCCTCCACCTATTCGACAAAAAGCCTAAGTGTGGTGATAGTAGCTGGGTGGCGGTGGCAACAGTGGCTGGGCGATTATAATGGCTAGGCGATGGTGGTAGTGGTAGTGGTAGTGGCAGTGGTAGTGGCTGGAGATGGGGATGATGTGAAGGTTGAAGAAGATGGTTATTTT